CCCTGCAATTTTTTTGTTTAAGTCATCAATACAAAACAAAAATTGAAAATGGACTTTGAACCAAATTAGCACTTCTAATTAATTGAGATAGCATATTTATTTCATATTTAATATAATCTTGCATTTTTAATTACCTCCAACACAATTCCCATGCCCTAAATTATGTCCTTATCCATATTACATATCCAATTCCCAAATTTCTTGGGAATATGATATAATAATATTTGGGAATTGGGGATGTAATTTGAGGAATAACACAATTAAGGCATGAGAATTGCGTCTAAGGTAATTAGAAATGTAAGAATGAGATGTTGAGTAATCTGGACTAATTAGAAGTCTTAATTACGTTTAAGGACTATTTTCAAAATAAAACATTGTGTATGGATGACAAACAAAAAAAATACAAAAAAATTACAGAGACTAAGAACAAAAGTCGCCTATTTTAGAGGAACAAAAAACATATTTAACCCTAAAAAACTAGTAAAATCCCACCAAAGTAAGTCTCGGGAGGGTGTGTGTACACATACTTTATCTCTACTCGAAAGTAGAGAGGCAATAGACCAACATTATAATTCAAAAAACAGAGGTGATCAATTAAGTACCTTGGAGTTCTAAGAGATGCTCACTAGAAGGGATGTTATGTGCCTAAAAAGCGAGTTTGAACACATAAGAAATAAATCAAATTAATCATGAATGTTGCAGCTTTATCTCCCTGCCAAAAACTTGTCATTTCATGCTATTTTACAATCAGTATGCATGAGAATTTTAAAATAATCCGTAAATATTTAAAGCAGTTCAGGTGGTGCAAGTGGAAATGGTGGTTAGACCAAAAACATTAAATAAATAAAAGGCAGATTATTATTACTGTTTTGATACTTTGATACCTTGATGACTGATTCCTTTTCAACAAAATTGCAAAGGGAGATATACTAATATACATAAAACCAGGCTACTCTACTATGCTCCTTTTGGTCCCTTTAATAAAGGTGTGTGTAGAAGGATGGATCCAATTTATAGAAGATTCAGACGTTTTTTCTTCCAAAAATACCCTTCATTTCTTTAATACGGAGTAATTTCTTGCATCACAGTACTTGTCTTTTCTGAGGGCCAATTGGTAAACAAATGGTCAAATGTAAAATTATTCCGTATGATTTTTAAAGATTGTTTTGGCATTTGAGTAGTAAGAAATCCCTTGTATATAAGGCTGGAGGGAGTAAAACTTTTCCCTTGAAAGAAAATACAGTCCCAATCCACCTTATGAATAAGCTGAGCATCATGAGGATTTGTGAAATGAATATGATGGTTTAAACTAAATGTAAAGCAACAATGCAATACCCGGCCACGGACAAAAGAACAACGGGCTTGACATGACCATGTAGTGTTGCTTTCAAAGCACTCTGGCCACGCTTTCCACCAGGTTCAACAGACCATAGTCGAACCGTACCATCTTCGCCCCCACTGGCAATCAATTTTCCAGAGGAACTACCCAGTAATCGATCAGAGAGTGTAGAAATCAGACCATTATGACCTCTCAAACTGTGTAAGCAACGATCCTATAAAACACAGTAGTACAAAGGTATAAAGACCAAAGGCCACACACACACACAAACTAAGACAAAGAAATGCCAACTCCTTACAAACATTTATGGGCCAATTGTCAAAGTATTGCAGCTAAATAACTACCTGATGCCATATCCGAATTGAATGATCAAGGCTTGCGGTTACCAAAAAGCTATCATTCCTTTGATCCTTGCTTAGGAGAAAAGGTGTTTCATCGATAGGAAACAATCTATTAATGAGAAAACAGACTAACTAAACAGTTCGATATCAAGAACAAAAATATTAAATACTCCGTACATATATTAGTATGCTATAAATAAACTGAACAGGATTGGTGCAAATACATAGAAAAACCTTAGGCTACTCATTTGAATTCTCGTTCGTCTCGGAAACCAAATGTAGACTGTGAATAATGCAAATAACATTATTCCCCTCCTCTTACCTCATACATGAAATTCTAGCCTCGTGACCACTGAGTTTAGTTTCTTCATAAAGATGACCATTCCTGAAAAGTCTAACCACAGAGCCCTGAGTATAAATAACAAACCAAAACTAGATTTTGTTATCTTGACGACGGCAAAAATGACAATAATAATAGGTATACCAGTATCAATCATCAAACTAAAATTGCAACAGAAGTTGAACAAGCGAAACAAGAACGGGGAAATGCGAGTAAGGAAATTGTTATCAAACCCGTTCGTGAGCCACGAAAAGTCTCATAAAACTCCAAACATATTCAGGATGCGTACCTTCGACAAAACTATATCATTCTTGTCCATCAGTCATTAATGATGCGCTGCTAGGGTTTCTGAACACGAACTGATGCGAATAGGCAAGACGGCTTCAATAAGCCTCTCTGGCGCCCAATTGGTGAGGAAATCCGGAAGGGACAAGTAAGGGCCACCTCTTTCTGAGCAACAAAGTACAAATCCCCATGGGATATGTTAAGAATTAGTCCGATTGATTGATTCCTGAAACAGCATGAGCCCTAACAATCGATTGTTTGAGTGAATTGGATGGATATTGAGTGAGAACCTGAATAATGAATTCCATGTATGGTCTGAATAAGCTGCTGCTTGGAGTTGTTTACTGGACATTGCCATGCTCACAACGTCTTCGAGGCAAAGGAAGCTGGCGCAATTAGCCAACGTGTCGGCGTCCAGGTCCGTTATGCTTGTCGCGCTGCCTTGATGTGGTTCCGTCGCCGGCGAAGCGCCGACCATCTTTCAACTCTGTCCAGAAATCAGATAAAGCCTGGTCGAATCCGGTACCCCCAGCTTCGCGAGGATGAGAAGTTAGAGCTGATCACGTCTTATGGCATGTTTTTAGCACAGAAAAAAAAAGAGTTTGATGGTAGGAAGAATTGGTAAGAAACTAAAACTCAAAGAAATTAGAAAACTAAAAAATAACTAAAAAAAACAGGAAGAAAACCGAAAGAAATTAAATAGACTAGACAATCTGGAAAAGATTGGAAATCTAAAAAAACTAAAAAAAATATTTAAGTTTATTTTTTATATTCTTTTCATTCTAATTCTCGTTATAATTTATTATTATTATTATTATTTAATTTAGTTTAAAAAATATTGCCATTTTTCATATAAAAAAATCTAGTTTCACAAAATAAATTACTAGAATATAAAGCTAGCATAGATATTGAAACATTAAATTTTAAAAAGTTATTATGGTTACGTTGCACGTTAATTTATTTATGCAGTATTTATTATAAAAATATATATTTGTAATTACATTTTATATATTACAAGATTTTATTTTACATATCATATCTATCACATAATGTGATCAAATCTATTTGTAATTTCATGATTGACATCATATTTACATTGCAACTCTTATTTTTGGAATAAAAATATAGAACTTATATTTGATACATTTTTATGTTTATTCATAGTTTACTTTCTTCTCTAAAATTTTTTGACATTCAAAATTTTTTATAAAAATTTAAAAAATGCAATCCTAATGTCAATTTAGAAGTGTGAGAATCGTAAAAATGGTGACATGAAAAAAATTAAAAATGAAATAGTTCAAAAACTATAGTTCTGACTTCTAAACATAATAGTTGTAATAATAATAATAATAATAACAATGAAGACAATACTAATTATTGTTATTATTATTATGTTACTAATAATTAGATTCATACATGTGCGTTGCATAGCCAATAACATGTTATAGAATCATCAATATAGTTTATTTAACCTTTCCACATATATATGCAAATAGATAAGTATTGGGAAATGATATCTATTGAAATTGACGAGAAATCTAAAAACTATTTTTCAATGTTGAAGTGAGAACGAAAAGACTAAACAACAAATTACTATAACGTTCACATGTTATGAAAAACTTTTTTAATTATATTTATTGTTGAGTGTGCTGGTTCCCCATTTTCATCACATATTAATATTTTTAAATCACTATGATCTGTGACTCTTGATACTGCAACATATAATTGTCCCTGACTGAATATAGGCTTCTTGAGAAAAATTCTCACGCAAGACAATGATTGGCCTTGTCTTTTGTTTATTGTCATTGCATACAAAAAGATTATAGTAAACTATTTTCTGATTTAGATTAATATACAAAAAATTGTCTTATTTATATTAAAAAGATAAAGAAAATATCGAGTGTGAATAATAAAAATAGTGAGAACCTAATAATATGAAGAAGCTAAAAGAATTGGAAATAAATAAAAGATGGTAAAATTAACTCGAAGTTTAAAATTTTAAGATCTAAAAGAGGCTCTAAAAACAAGAAGTTATCAATGGAGTTCACATAAATGAGTACTCCATATAATCTAAATTTTTGCACTAAATTTCTCAATACGTAGGATCATTGGCACTGTTGAATTATTATTTTAGATTAAAATGATGGGTTAATTGCAACATTACAATTCAATGCTATTTTTTAATTACCTAATATTCCATCTTTTTTGAATTAATTGTGACATTAAACTTTATGTTATTAAAAAATATCCCAAAAAAGATGAATGAAATTTGTTTAAATGAAAAAAATACAATTTTAGATTATTTAGTTTTTTATTTTACTTTATTTAAAAAGTAAAAAAATATGAATATTATTTTAAGACATTTCAAGAATTGTGAAGATCAAATCAAAAAGAAAGAATAAATTCGTTTTCCAAGGAAATGATATCTTGGTGAACAAACCACCATGTTGTCTTATTGCCAAAGAAAAGGAGTCTGTAATCCGCTGTTCCGCCGGCGCACGGTCACCATTCACCAGTTGCGAGACACGTGTCCATGCACCTCCACTGGTGGGCCCAGGCGCAAATCTACTCATCCGTCAATGAGAGCAATCTACGGTCAGCGTTCAACCAAATCCAGCTGTTCAATTTCAACGGCCCAGATGCAAGAGAGGAACACGTGTTCCGCACCGTTCGAAACTAGGCCCTCGAATTAGGGCTTCGCGCGTGTGCGCGTGTATATATATATACTCCCCCACCTCTCACACCCGTAGCTCTCAATCGATAAACCCCTCATCTTCCCCAGATCGTCTCTGAGAATTTCTCCAGCTTTCGATTCCGCCATGGCTAAGGGACCAGGTCTTTACTCTGATATCGGCAAGAAGGCCAGAGGTCTGTTTCGCGATCGGATTATCGGTTTCGAATTTTGTTTCTCAATTTGGATTCTGGTTTTTTTGAGTTCGTGAATCTGATTTGCGTGTTTTTGTTGCTGTGGTTATAGATCTTCTGAACAAGGATTACCAGACCGACCATAAGTTTTCCATCACCACCTTCTCTCCTACTGGCGTGGTGAGTTTTGCGCTTTTTTATGGTTGGATCTGTGCTAGGGTTTTGCTGTCTGTAGAAATGAACGACGGTTCTATGTTCGATCGTCGGAAAAACTTTGAGCCTGTGTTATTTTGGAATGTTTTTATGATTGATTTGCTCGATTACAGAACCAATTTTGAATGACATTGTTTTTTAGTTTATTTGCATGACCTAGATTATGAAATTTTGTTTATAAATGTGAAGTGTGAGATTGTTTTCATTGAAAATTTCTATGACTTTAGAGCAGTTTGGAATCCTATTGTACTGTGTATTTATGTTGGAGTTCACTTGTGTTGTGTGGCTTCAAATGACATTTCACACTACATCTTAAACTTGTATGCCATTTCTTGTTTTTAATTTTTTATTAATTTTTGCTTTCTATGATTTTGTTATGCAATGCCATTTGCTTGCTCCTATCACATTTTCTTTGTTTAATTTGCAATAATCTATGGGAATCTTTATCTGCTTCTGTGGATTGCATTGACATGCGTTTTTTTCCTGCAGGCAATTACTTCAACTGGATCTAAGAAAGGTGATCAGTTTGTTGGTGATGTCACCACAAAACTGAAGAACAAAAACATAACCACTGATATCAAAGTGGACACCAGCTCCAATGTGAGTTTTTGAATACCATTTGCATTGTTTTTTTAATGTTGGTGTTTAGCCCCCATCATTCATATGTGGGCATATCTGCATTTTTAGTTTTAACCTGAATTATTCTTCAGTGAGTTTTGAGAACCATCTTCAAATATCTTATTTAAGTAAACTGCAGTGAAAAATGTAAAAGGTCATTTGTTGCCCCCCTCAATTGTATTCATTGCATATATACATTAGTCATGATGAGATTAGCTCTATAGTGACATATAAACAATATATTCAAATAGTGAAGGGTACATAGGTATTGTTTTTTGATGAAGCTGCCTGGATGCAGGTTACTACAACTGTCACTCTTGATGAAGCTGCTCCTGGTTTGAAAACCATTCTCAACTTCAGAGTGCCCGATCAAAGATCTGGGAAGGTATTTAATTCATTAACTTTTTTTGTGAATGAGTCGTATCACTGGAACCAGATTTCTTTTTATTCACAGTTTCTCATTGTGACTTTCATTTAGCTGGAACTTCAATACTTCCATGAGCATGCTGGCATAAGCACAAGTGTGGGTTTGACAGCAAGCCCCATCGTCAACTTCTCTAGTGTTTTGGGAACCAATACTCTTGCTCTTGGAACTGATGTTTCATTTGACACCAAAACTGGAGTTTTCACCAAGTACAATGCTGGCCTTAGCTTGACCAACCTGGACCTCACTGCTGCTTTGACTCTGTGAGTTCTCTTCTGCAATATAAGGACTTGTTTGTTTAGCTGATATTGTAGGGGAAGAAGTTTTTAGACACAGTGAATATCTTCACACACACACAGCCTTCCCATCCAATGTCTTCAACCCACAAACTGACACTTAATTACTTGTTTGCCAAGGGAGATTCAGAGGGAGGGGGAAATGTTTTACTTTTGTTTTTATATTTATTTGCTAGTCTTAATTTATAAAATAATATTAAAATTATATTCTAAATAAACTTCTTGTTTAGTTTGATCATGTAAGTCCATATTATTTTTCATTTTTCTCTTTCATCCTAGCCTTTGAACTTAAGAATAAGTTAATAAAATAGATCATAAACTACAGGGTGAGGATTGAGTCTTGTTTTCACCAATTCCTTGCATTATAAAGTTGTGTTTGCTCAGAAACAATGATTAGTCCTATAGAATTTTCTCTCCAGCCCAACAAAAGAAAGGGGGTAATAAAGTGTGTATGAATTCTGGTTATCTTGAGTTAAAAGTTTTTTTTTATTTTTTTTCCAGGAACGACAAATTCGACACCGTGAATGCATCCTACTTCCACCAAGTCAACCCATTGAGCAACACGTGCGTTGGTGCCGAGGTGGCCCACAGGTTCTCGACCAACGAGAACACCATCACGGTGGGAGCCCAGCACCAGTTGGATCCTCTGACCACGCTGAAGACGCGTGTGAACAACACCGGAATAGCGAGCGCTCTGATCCAGCACGAGTGGCGTCCCAAGTCGCTCATCACCCTGTCGGGCGAGGTTGATGTCAACAGCATCGACAGGAGTGCCAAGTTCGGTCTTGCTCTGGCCCTCAAGCCTTGAAACCAGTCAAATTTCCCAGTTTGGAGTTGAGAGTGGTGGTGGACAAGGTGTTATTTTTACTCTGGCAAGTTTTATTTGGTAGTGGTTTTTATTATGGGATTGTATAAAATAATTGGAATGGTCTTTTGCTTCGTTTTTTTGTCGTTGGTTCAACTTTCTTGATCATCCTTATTTTCGAATCCTTATTTTTTTTTGATATCATCACTGTGGTTTGCTGCTTTCATGCTTGAATGTGTTTTACTGTTTTTGAATCATACGGAGTAGTTATTAGAAATGAACAGGTAACCTCTAGACCCATCATACCAATAATCGCCGGTCACTATTGGTAAGTAAGCTTCCTAATTTACAAGATACTACTGTCCCACAACTTTGTTTGTGTTAGCGCAAAATGAAGAAAAGTTTAAAATTTTTTAAATCTATTTTATTGAAAAATTGATAAAGAAATAAAAAATGAAACTTACTCTTTTCGTCCCGTTTTATATCGCATGTTTTGACTTTTAGGCATATTTAAGGAAAAGAAAAAATAGAATTGATTTTTCAAAATTGTCATTATTTTTTAGAAGGGATGACTATGAATTAGAAGATAAGATGAAGAAGAGTGACTTATTTTAGGGGTAGTTTAGGTATTTTATTTTTAAAAGTTTACGATAACAACTAACAGGTAACTTATTTTGGGATAGAGAAAAAAGGCAAACTAGAAATTTAAATTGGGACAGAGGGAGTACATATTTAGAAATTACATAAAAATTTAATAAAATAAGTGATGACAAGAATATTTTATTTTATCATACAAGTCAAAGAAAAACACAAATAAGTGAATAAATAAACAAATTAAATACTCCGTAATACTCTTTCCGTTTAAAAATTATCTTCTCGTTGTGCACTGATGTTTGTTGGGTGACGAAAACAGACCAACAAAGTAAACATAGTTTGATCCTGTGAATAATTAATGAGGAGACAATTTTTTGATGGAGGGAGTATAAATATACCACATTCAAATCAATTGTTTTGGGGTTCCGTTGACACTCGCCAACGATCCAATCAGAAAATCAATGGTTTAGGGGGTGAGTTAGGAGTTAGGAGCTATTAATATTTTTCAATTGGAGCACCGGAGGTGCTTCGAAAATTCAGTGGCACAATTAGTGTCACTGTTGACGAGTGTCAACGAAATCGTGCCCATTATTTACACACTTACACTATGTTTGGTTCAAAGTAATTAAAAAAAATAGTTTTCTCTCATTAAGAGAAATTTAATTTTCTATCTTCTTCGTAATTTTGCCTTCACACTTTAATTTTCTTTCACTATTCTTTTAGCCTCTAAGAGCATCTCCAACCCATCCTCTATTTTTATATCTTCTATTTGCTTCTTTAGCTTTTTTACAATGTTTTTACAGCTCATTTTTCTTCATCCACTCCAACCATATCATCTATATTCACTATCAACCACCAATAAAACCTCAATTTTTTTAAAATAAAAAATCAGCAACTGGAAATCAAATATGGTGGATGAGCAAGGAAAAGAAAGCCCTAGCTATTTGAAGAAACTCGAGCAAGATTAAGAACAAGATGAAGAAGCATAAGTACTAGATCTAAAACCAAAGGAAGCAAGAAACAACAAACCCTAGATGTTTCAAAAGAAAAATCAGCAAGGTCCAACAAGAAGAAACAATAGAATCGTAAGCTATAGCTACTTGCAGATGGCAGATGAGCAGAATCGGAATCAAAGAAGAAGGAAACGGAGGGGAATTGGAAATCAAAGAAAAATAGATCCATAGCTGATGCAAGCCCGGCTTTCAAATATAGAAGACGAAACGGAACAAATAGCAATCACTCTATTTTATGGCTTACCCGTTGGAGCTCGTTTTTATGTACAGTAAATGCTATATCTTTCAATTTTTACACTTTAGTGAATTTTAGATGCTCCGTTGGAGTTGCTCTAACAAAACTTGAAAATAAGAAAAATCCGTTGTGTTTATCATGATATTAAATAGTACTCCTTCCGTCTAAATACTTCTTTTCTCGTCTGATTTAGTATGAAAATTAAGAAAAGTTAAAACATGTAAAGACTTTTAATGTATTGCCCTTGATGTGATGAAACTAAGTGTAATACAAAGTACAATACACATGTAAAGATTCTAATATTGATATTAAAATGAAAAGTACCAATTTCATATTTAAAAGCTACGAAATACATCATAATGTTACAAAACAAGAGATCAAAACATTATCAACTTAATGATAAAACATTTCCCGTACCTCTCGCATGCTAAGCGAGCGCTCTACCATCTGAGCTACTTCCCCATGTTGTTAGATTCCGCTTACAACGAGTAATATACAACCCTAAGCAACGCATTTGCCGAGTTAAAAAGAACACCAACGAATTTGTAACTGGGAAATAAGGGGCTAATAATACATAACTAATAATCATTCTTTCGCGTAAATTTAGATAAAGCGATCACTAGTGAAGTATATTAGTTTTGTTAAATTTAAAATTCAGTTTATTTCTTTCATTAGAGCATGTCTTCTTTAATTTATACTGTTCGAGTATTGCTTTTTTTCATAGAAGTCAGTTCATTTCAGATCAAAAATTGCTTTAAATGTATCCCTCCATCCATAATTTATCTTCCCACTATCCTTATTTGTTCGTCCATAAATTATCTTCCCATTTTGTTTTTTGACAAATACTTTTTCTTTTTACCACATTACCACCCTCACTTTTACTCATTAATTACTAATCCATACCTACACTCTATTTCACTTTTTACATACCCCGCTTCTTATAATAACTCAAAGACAAATATGGAAAGTCAACACATTTTTTATAATTTGCGTATAAAGTCAAAGCGGAAAGATTTTATTTAGACGGATGGAGTAGTTACTTTCAAATTAGATCAGAACTTATTTTAATTAGATTAAAATAATTCAGATCAAGGGAAAAGAACAAATCCTTAGTTTCATGGAAGGTCAGGGCATTGGCCTTGGCCTTGGCCCTGGCTCAAGGTCGGTTCGACTAAACATGTTGATAGATTCAAGAATATATTTTTTTTTTGTTTGGATAGGGACTAAACCGGTAGCAGAGACATTCTGCTTGAAATGTTGGAAAAAGAAGATAAAGGGATCAAATTTGCAAATGACCTAAAACTTATGTACCACAGTGCAAAATGTATATTTTAAAGTGAGAATGTTGACTTTCTGCAATCAAACATTCTGCTGCAGAGGTTTGAGCTCAGCTCTTTTTCATTTAAATAATTATGACAATTGCTTTTTTTTTAGGTTTCCATAGTTCATATTGCAGAAAAATCATTCATTGATTGACTATAACTAAGATGACCAAAGAAAACTACATCAATAAATTTGCATTAAAAATATGGCTTGGAAATATGGTCCCATAAGACCAAGAACTCCAACAAAGTAAAGAACACAGATACTAAAAATGAGCAAAGAATGGATAAATTTCAGCAACAAGAAGCCAAGAACCATAAAGAACTGTTTGAGAAGGCTTGTACAAATGTTACACTATTCAGTTGTACCCTTTCTTTTTCATCTTGGAACAATGCTACACTCACAAAACACAAGTTTCATTCACTCACTCCAAAATCCTTTTACCACAACACAACATATTGAAGAACAAGACCACCATGGCCAATGTATGATCCATCAACAATCAGATGCTCCGGATGAACTTTCCGGAAGAAATGCTCTCGCCGCTGTCAACAACACATACACACACAATTTCATCCTAAATACAACCTCATGACAAGTAGGAAAAAATGTTATTTTAATCTCAGAGATGACGCCAAACTTGACACTATCAAAACAATTGTTTTCTTTAAGACTATAATTATTTTCTTTATGGATCTTTATAGCTCTGATAGTAAAATGAAAATGTTATTTTAATCTCAGAGATGACGCCAAACTTGACAGTATCAAAACAATTACTACGTATTTTCTTTAAGAATATAATTATTTTTTTATGGATCTTCATAGCTCTGATACCATGTGAAAGAATAGACTTGTGCCCAATTTAATGGCACAAGTAAATTCAAGAGGTTAATGAACCCAAACTATTAAATGTAGCATAATATTGACATGTTTTGTCGATGTGGGGTGAGACAACTCTAATGGTACAACTTGAGAAGTGGTCTTATTTGTTGGGATGATCCCTTTGCCCATGAGAATCCAGTTGGAACGCGGTACATCCTTATGTCAGAAGCTCTGGAGAAGCACACAAATTTATACTCCGAACGATGTGTCGCCATCTATTGCGACCACATCGAATTCTTGGATTTGTCCCACAACACATTGCTCACACTTTAGGAGCAGGAATGTTATCATGGAGGTGTCAGAAGGTTTGTTTGGAGGAATTCACGTATTCACCTCTCACATTACCCCAGTTCAAGCCCAATGGCCTTCATCTGCATCCTTTACATAGCAACTTGGCTTTACAGGTCGTTGATATGGAGCAAATACTGAAGTTGATATGAAGCAGAAGAAGGTTTTGAAGAGTTGAGCTTATTCTGACGTGATACTGAACATAATTCCATTCGTAATCCCGTACTGGCCATCAAGATCAATTGATGTACGCAGAGAGAGGGATAAATGAAGAAGAAAACAACTCACACTACTCAGGAGAAAAGAAAGATGGCCAGTGAGGGATGGCAAATGAAATTGTGTTCAGTATTGCGTCGGAATAAGTCCAACTCTTCAAAACCTTCTTTTGCTCCATATCAACTATAAGTATTTGCTCCATATCAACAACCAACAAAGCCAAATGGTTATGTAAAGAATGCATGGTTATGTAAAGATGAAGGCCATTAGGCCATTGGGCTTGAACTAGGGTAATGCAAGAGTTGAATACGTAATTTCCTCTAAATAAATCTTCTGAACTATACTCTAGACACCTCCATGATAACTCTCCAACCTCCAGAGCATCACCAATGTGTTATGGGACAAATCCAGGAATGGGACAAATCCAGGAACTGGATGTGGTCATAATAAACGGGGACACATCATTCTGGGTATAAATTCTTGTGCTTGCCCAGAGCTCTCGACAATGGGATGTACCACGTTCCAACATGATTCCCAAGGGCGAAGGAATCATCCCAACAAATCAGGTCACTTCTGAAGTCGTACTCGTTGAATTGTCTCATCCCACATCGGTTAAACATGCCAATATTATGTTATATTTATTAGTTTGGATTCCTCAACCTCTTGAATTAACTTTTAAAGTTGAATTGGGTCTAAGTATTTTATTCCACATGGTATTGGGCCTACGAGTATTGTTTATCTCAAGAGCTAGCAATGAAAGAAAGTTAAAAAGGGAAAGACGATACGAACCTTTGGAAGTGGAAGGAAGAACGACGACGTGCATAGTTGAGTTGTTGGGCGGGAGAGCTAACCGGAGAGGGAAGACCTTCCCGTTCAAAGGGTTGCGCATGCAAACGATGATGTCTTCAAGCCCTGTCTCTTCCTCTAACTTGGCACTCAATTCCTCTAAACCATTCCCTTTGAAATGGAAGGACGACTCTTCAACCGCGTCATCGGCGTTCCCTTCATTGTCCGCCACATTGTAATATATCAACCGCCCTTCGCTCCCCCCGGACCCCTCCATCGACTCTCCGTGCTGCACATTGTAATGGAACTAAATCAACAAAAAATTCAAACTTGTAATTGCACGTTCCGACCAGAATTTTATACTCTAACTCGCTTCCTTGCATGCCTGCAAAATTTGTTTTTTGTTTGAGTGTTACAAGCGAACTTCAACTTTTGAAAAAGTGAAGGTGAGCTTCGAACTCGTGACCACCAAGAGAATGTATGGATTGTATTTGAAAACAAGGTTTACGCTTGTACATCATCAAAACACAATTTTGAGGGTTTGACAATTTGCTTAGAAGTACTTCCCAACAAAACTAAGATTAAATCATTTCATTCAAGAAACAAACTCAACAAAAAAAAGCTCCGAGCTTCAAAATTGCAAGTCCAAGAAAAATTATAGAAAGTGAAAACGGGAAAATTCTTACAGAGTGTCGGGAAACAGACGAGGAGGTAAGCCGGAAATTGGACAGGTCGGCATCGTCGGCGTCGTCGGATCTGGGCAGAGTCTTGGGCGGGTTGGGTCGGATTTCAAGAACCTCAACAAGCCACAAAATCCAATCTTGGTGCCGGTGAGGGATGTCGTGGGTGATGGAGTTCCTCCAGGGGGGAATTCCCGAATTCGCCCTCAGGAAATTCCCGTACCTGGTCTTCATCTTCACCAGATCCCCTTCCCGGACGGGCTCCCACTCGATCTTCGAGTCCAGTTTCTTGGGAATCGTCTGGAGGACCTTCCTCCCGGTGACGCCGAGGAGGTACTGCTCGTCGGTGGCCGTCAGGTACCTGCCGTGGCAGCTTTTCAGGCGGAGGACGAAGTGGGCGCCGTCGACGAACTCCACCGTCCATCTGGCCGCATTGGTGGTGCCGTCGCGGCACTGGATGACCGATTCCTCGTTCCGATCGGCGGATAGGTATTTGTCGTGGTGGCTCTTCAGCCTCACGGTTTGGGCGATCTTGAAAAACTCCATAGCCCAGAGATCTCTCTGGAACAAATTCGTTAAGAGGTCGAAGGATCCATCGAAATAAATGATACGGAGTAAAAGAAAATGTGCAGACGCCGGAAGAAGGCGTTGGGACTTGGGAGGAGTCTCTTTCGTTTTGTTTAAGAAAACAAAAATGCCGACGAGGAGGAAAAATCGGGGATCATGTGCGCGGTCGGAATAAAAAAGAACAGACGAAATAAAATATGGAATCAATAAAAATACTGCACCAGCCGGGAATCGAACCCGGGTCTGTACCGTGGCAGGGTACTATTCTACCACTAGACCACTGGTGCTAGTTGGACGGTTGCTTATCAAATTTTCAAACAAACAAAAGGATCATTTACTCAAAAATGTATAAATGGTGGTTATGAAAAAGAATAAAGAAATACTATACACTTGTAGTAAGACTACAATATCAAGTTCATATAAGAATAAGAGTTTGTGTATCTGCTTCTATAAATAAGATCATACTTAATAAAAATAAAATTTACATTCTCTATCCTAAAATCATCTTTCCATATTTTTTCTTTGTTTTAAAACTATCTTCTCACACAACCAAAAGAGATATGTAATGACCACAATAGCCCTCAATCATTTACTCCTCCAACCACTTCTTATTTACATCACTCTCTCACCTTATCTTTTCGCCTCCTTTTTCTGGCTTTATCTCTTCTTCTCTTCCATTCTCGCACTATCTCTGCGCCTCGTCTAATGCCTAGATCTATGTCTGGTTTTTCTCTCGTCTCTCTTTCTCGCCTTATCACCATTTCTCTTCGCCCTCTCTCCGTCTCTCTATGAATTCCATCTTCCATAAAATTAAACCAAGCAACATAAAAAATGAATTTTAGAGCTGCGATATGAACAGTAGTCTGATTCTCATTTTCTTCCAAAAAGTGAGTTTTCTTTAATCAACTTAACTTCTATTTTGGTATCTCTTAAATTAGTATTTCCCCCCAAAACTATACCTTGATCTTCTCGCATTAAGCCAAATATTCACTAGATGGAATAAAGCAAAATGGTTTTTAAATTATCTATGCTTCTTTTGATAGTAGAGTAAGAGTTAGTTAATACATGCAACTTTCGATGCTGATCATGATTCATTTAGAAACAGGCGCTCTATGTTTTAACGTAGGTGTCAGGGGGCGTACATTCGTACATTCAGCCCATCTTACCCCGCAATGGACTGGAGCTTTTAAGGCACTATGGTAATATTGTTGTTGATGTTGTTGTTTCACTTGATTTCTTTTTACAATGCAGCGTAAAAAGAGTAATTATATTTTCTTTACAAGAGAAAAATCATATGGATTACAATTCTTTTACCTCTTTGGGAATTGGGATGGTTTAGATTCAAAATAGAAAAAAAAAAGCAATACATTGTAATCCTAATTATGTTGGACTGCTGGAGTGAACAAATACACAATATTACTCCATAGTTAACTCTACAAACATTAATCAAAATGGTACTCTGACTCTTAAGAACCTCCACAGTTACCACAAGTACCTCTAAAATTGTTCATAAGAACCAGACTTTGAAGAAAGTATAGCAAACACAGAAATGAGCTCAACTGCTTCTTCAAATTCAGCCAGTTCTCTTCCCTAAAATGTGCACTTTATAGTTTATATACATATGAAAAACAACAAAGGATTATACCTTTTGTCGTTGATCGATCCGTTCGGTTGTTTTGGGAACAAGATACAAAATGGGAGGGAGAGTGTGCAAATGTCGTCATGAAACAAGGGTTCTCGGGTCACCCATTCGGTTTACAACCCGATATGCATCCTCCAATCTGTTTGCTCTTTCATATATACCGGCAACAACTTGATGCAAATCCCTCTTGTTAACACGAGGGTTGTTGCTAAGCGTCTCGAACAATGTCTCGACCATCTCAAAATCCTTCCGAGCCCCATACACGTTCAACATCTTGAAATGGACTTCGTCAAACAACACGTGCCCTTCCTCCTTCATCCCCCTATATAGGCATTCTGCCTTCTCAAACTCCCTCAACTTCCCATATGCATTGAGGACCCGAACGAGTGTGTTAGAATCTGGGTAAAACCCGGATTCCCTCATCTTATCAAACACGTCAATGAGATTTTTGTGCTTTTTGTTCCTCGCGAAAAGATCAATCATGCACTCGAAAACGTCTACCCTCTTCACCTCCTTGGCAGCTACCGCGTGCCGAAATACCCACATTGCCTCTTCGACCCGACCCGCACCCGCTAGAACCGTTATAGCGGATTCCCGGGGAATGTTGTCGGGCCGTTTCAGCTCATGCAGCAAACGGTTGGCGTGGGCGACCATGCCGGCCCGTTCAAAAGCCACTATCATCGTCGTATATAGAACATGATCAAACTCAACCCCGGACGACCTCACCTTTTGAAACAGAGTCGCTGCTCTGTTCAACTTCCCTGCTTTGCTCCAAATGTGGATCATGGTCGAATACGTGATGGTGTCCGGTTTGATCCCTTTGGTCTCCATTTCCTTAACTAGGTTGTTTGCCTTCTCATGTTCGCGTGTCTTCCCATAAATCTTGATCATCGTGTTATAAGTGACAACGTTCTGTACGATGCTCTTCTTCTGCATCAATCTGAACAAATGTATGGCTTCCCCGAAAAGCTCGGCATCGCCATAAACCCTTAAAAGGGTGTTGTAACTGATCACATTAGGTTCGATTCCCATCTTCCTCATACGCCAAAACAAACCGTCGGCTTCCTTTGCCATATCAAGCTGCCCATATACATCAATCATTATGTTGCAGGTAGTCAAGTCAAGAGGGCATCTTGCTGCCCTCATTTCAGAGAACACTGATAGAGCTTCTAGAACCTTCCGGTTCTCGACGTACATAGTTAGAAGTGTGGAGTAACTGACAGTGTCTGGTGTGATGCCTGCCGAGTCCATCTCTTTCAGCAAAAGCCGTGCTTCGCGAAAAAGCTTAGCTTTTCCAAACACATTGATCATTGTGTTGTAAGCTACCAGGTCAGGGACAATCCCTGACCTCTTTAGCTTGGAGAATATGGAGATCGCCTTCGGGTAATCGCACAATTTACGGGACAACTCGATTAAATTGCTGTACAAGACGAGATCACCTGGGAGTTGGTCATGCTCCATTTTCTGAAGCCAGGATAGGGCGTAGTCAAACAGGCCTTCATTCCCGAAATGGGTAATCAGAGTGGAGTAAGTGTACTTATCTGGTGAAAGACCTCTTTGGCGCATTTCGTCGAACAGTCCAAAGGCAAGGCTCCATTGTTTGGCTCGAAGAACATTTCTGAGGACGACGTTGTAGGCGAAGACGGAGGGAGCGTACAGAGCCTCGTCGTGGATCCAATCGAGCAGCGCGAGCGAGCGTCGCCAGTCGGGTTCGCGGGAGAGGAGGGCGGCCAAGAACCGCACGGAAAGTGTTCGACCTTTGTACGGGGACATCAGAGCGTGGAGCTCTCGCTCGTCGCTCGTATTCCCGATTGCCAAAACCAGGGAGTCCATGTCGACGGTGCCGTCCGACGCCGGCGGGTGCTGGTTTCGGCGGTACGGCGTAGTTCTAGGCGGCGGCGCCTGCTCGGCCGTCCTCCTCAAGACGCCTTTCAGGGAACAAGTGGCGGAGGATGCCATTGCGATGGAGCGGGTCCGGAGTTTGGCGCATCCATTACAGGGTGGGACGATTCCGGTTGAAGGTGGAATGAAGCAGAGGTGTATGGGAATGGAGCGGCTGTGCATTTCAATTCCTTCTTCTCGCCACCTTCAATGTTTTTGAATTTGACTCTTCTTTAACCACTTCTTATTATATTTAATTTTTTTGTTTAAGTCCCAAAAGATTACCCACTTTTTTTTGGGTTAATAGCATGAGTGTCTGGTTTACAAAAAAGGCGTCAAAGTTACCTCTGTTTTCAAAAGTTATTTGTGAAGTCCTTGTAGTTTCTAAATAGAGCACACATGCCCCCCTTACATATTTTTAAAGTAAAAATGACATGTATGCCCTTTATTTTTCCCGATCTTGAATTTTTCCAATTTCAATTACCTCTATTATACAAATATATAAAATAAAATATGCGCTTCCCATCTCAAATTGGAATTTTTTATAATGTACTTTTGAAAACAAAAGATTTTTTGGAGAATGATACAAAAAATGAAAAATAAAATATTATGTACAAAGTAAAAGTAATAATAGTTAAAAAAGGTAATGAAAAGAAATAAAAATATAAAAATATTCTTTTTCTTTAACTTCATATTTTATTTCATCTTTCTGTTCTTCATTTTTTAAAGTGTTTAAAAAATTATTTTACTTTTAAACAACAAATAAGTTAGAATTTTTAATTAGAGATAGAGTGAGTATATGTTATCAAATTTTTATTTTATTTATTTTACTTTTACTTATAGTGAAAAAGTGTATTTTATTTTGTTTTTGTAACATTTTCTAAAAAAATTATATTTTTGAAAATTAAATAAATAAAAAATTTTAATTTTAGAAAGAGGGCGTGTATTTTATTTTATTTATTTGTATGACAAAATATAAAGAAAAGAGTAAAATTTGAAGATAGAGAAAAACCAAGGGCATAAATGTCATTTCATGTGTAAAATAGGCAGGAGGGGGTGTTTGTGCACTATTTAAAAACCACAGGGGTTTTACAAATAACTTTTAAAAGTAGAGAGGGTTTTAACGCTCCTTTTATAAACCACGGGGGGCACCCATGCTATTATCCCCTTTTTTTGTCAAATTTTGGCATCATTTCATCCTAAATTATGAAAAAAATATTTAGTTACAATGTAATTTTAGTAAAATTGAATTTATCTTAAAATATAATTTTTAAATATCAAATTTTTATAATAAAAACTTCAAACTATGGTAATCTTTTAGGAACGAACGAAATAATAGAAAATTCATTTTGTAAGAAGAAATGTTTATCTTTTGCTTAATCGAATATCTAGACATATTTTTGGTTAAATTTTATTTATTTTATCAAAACTAAAAAATATATTAGAACAAGAATTGCTCATAAAACTTGGTTTGTTTTATACTTAAGTCGTATTCTTTTATGTTGAAATTTTAGGGTTCGATGTTAGAAGAAACTAGGAAATATTGAAAAAAAGCTAGGAGTTAGAAAATACTTAAAGGAGTTGGAAATGTTTAAATTATTAAAGTATTAAAAAATTACTCAATTAAATGATCATTCAAATAAATATGTTAACAAATTCAAATTTGGATTTAAAAAATCGTTCTCGTCCGTTTTTGAGGTGGTATGTTATAAATTTGCATACACAATCTTATTTTACATTCATCATATATAATTAATTTTTTTAAGTCGTTGAAAGAAAATAAAAGTTAGAAGGAACTGGAAAAAATTGACAAAATTGTGAGTTGGAAACATTCAAAAGTTATTTTTTCTAACGCAAAAGAATAAGATTTTACGGTGCCAAATAGATACTGAACTTAAAATTGATGGTACTGGAAGTCTAGAACTCTACCAAAATTAGAACCAGAATTGATAAATAAAGAAATCAGAAGTAGAACACGAAATGGAGGATTGGAGGGGGTAGTTGTCATTCCTCTTCTTTAATGGGAATGAGAAATGTTAGAGTCATGAACAATAAGATTACAAAATTTACAAACATACCACGATAAATTTAAATATTACGGAGTAGTTTTTTATATTATTTGAAACCAATTTTCTTAATCTGCTATGATATAGCAATAGTAATGGCATCGCCAAATGGTGTCTTGAAAGTGTTTGAGAGTGTCTCAAAACTCAAATTTTCAAACTCTACCAAATCATTCCCATGTACAAAACAAAATGAAATGGAGTCTTTTAAATCTCAAACTCAAAGACTCTCGAATTAATTTATTTAATAAAACTTAATAAAATTTTGATATGTCCAGGGCCGGCCCAATAGGGGACAAGGTGTCCGTCCGGGCCGGGTCCAAAAAATTTAGGGGCACAAATTTTTTTTTATAGGTATTATATAAATATAAGCCCAGGCCCAATCCCATGACCCATTCCTTAACTTAGCCCACTCCAGTAGACAAAAAAAGAAACGGAAGAAAGGAGTCCAGATGCTCGTTGCCGATCGAAGAAACCAAAAGGCAGAAAGTCAGAAACGTCAAGGTCTCAAGGAACGGAAGAAACAAGAGAGCCGAGACTCGCCGCCTCCACCGCCGGTCGCCGACCTGCACGCCTCCAGTCCCTCCACCCTCCAGGTAATTCATAGCCTTCCCTTCCCAATTTTGTAATTTTTATTTCTTAAATCTCAAATTTCTTTCATTGTTTCATTTTGTAGATTTAAAATCTAGGGTTAACTATTAGTTTTTACTTTGAAATCTTTTCTAATTTCATTCTTTGAAATAGAATGAATGAATGGTTCTATAAGCTATTTATTTGATTTGGATGATTGATTTGAATTTGTTATTTATGATAATTATATATTTATATTAAAAAAACTGGAAAAAAAATAAAAACTGATTAATTGCTATATTGATATGAATTTATGATTTATAAAAAAATTAAAACTGAAAAAGAAAAAAACAATTTTAAAAAGAAAAATTGACGAATTGATATTAATTTATGATTTATTTATTTATTTATTTGCTTGCTTTTTGCAGTTTTTTATTCTTGATTTTACTAAGTAGAATTTATGATTTTGGATTTTATTTCAGAAATAATTCAATAGTTATGGCTCCTAAACAATTATCCGGTAGTCAAAAAAGAAAAAAGAGAAAACGAGATGAAGAAATGAGAAAGTCTCAAGCCAGAGCTCTGTATAAGTTTATGAAACCTGTTGCTGAAGACGAAGAAGTAGAAGTAATTTTAATACTATAATTTTGTCATTTATTTTTTTCTTCTAATAATATTGCGTTAATTATAAATTATAATACTAATATAATTAGTTTACATATGTGAATTTTTTAGACCATTAAAGATAAGATTTTTAGGGCATTGTTTCTGTTTTGGCCCAGAAAAAAACTACTCGTAAAATAGAAGCAAAACTTGAAAATATATCAAAATAGAAATTCAATTTTTTATTTCCGAAATAAGAATTTGATAGGAAATAATACGTGTCTCGACTTACATTTTCCAGTTATTTATGAAAAACAATCCGACCAGATTAGTTTAGTATAACGGAAAAATAGGATAATATTATCCTAAAAGATGCTCTTACTTATTCCATAAAAGAAGGGCTTTCCCACGAGGAGAAGGGGGGGTCTCTCTACACAATCCCCTACGCACTACTCTCTAGATTGTTGTATATTTTCTTCTCTTCAAGAGCTTAGAAGTTCTTCGTTAATGACTTTTGAGCCGAAGGTATGTACCGTGTACAACCCCCGATACATTAAAATTCTCGTTGGCAAGGTACCGCTAAAAAAGCCCGTAGTTTTCTCTCGTTTGAGTTTCCACGTCAAAATTCACGTATTTGTGTTTGGTATACTCCCTCTGTCCAGAAATAATCTTCCCGTTTCTCATTTTCTCTCGTCCGGAAATAATCTTCTCATTTCTAATTTTAACCCAAATTCTTGCAAAAATACCCTTATGAATAAATTTCATTTACTCTCAATTTTCCTAGATCTACCCTACCCGTCTCTAAATCTACCCTTCCGTGCTGCACCCTTTCTTCTTCTTCTTCGTCTTCTTCTTCTTCTTCTTCTCTCTCTCTCTCCGTCTTCCGATCTTCCCCTGCCCATCTCCTCTCTTCTCCCCCCTCCATTTTTCATCTTCGTATTCTCCCTTCTTATTCTTCTTCCATCTTCTAGATCTGAGCATGGCGATAATTGTAACAGCGATGACTGCAATTGTGATAGTGATGACGGTGGCGGTAGGCAGTGACGATGATGGCGATGGTGAGTCTAGTCTCTAGATATACACTTCTTCCTCTTTTCTTCTTCTTTTTTTCTTTCTCCTCTTGTTTTAGATCTGCACCAGGTGGGGGGGGGATGTCGGGCTGGGGGGCAAAGGTGGGGCTGCCGACGGTAGTGGAGTGGCGGCGATGGTGCGGTGAAAGGAGCGGGCTACCTCGGATATNGGGAAGATGGTCGGAGAAATTAGCTGTGGTGTGGCGGGCGGCAAGGGAAGGGCTGCGGCAACAATTGGGACTAGGTCATGGAGGAGCTGGCGGCAACAATTGGAACTGGGTTAGAGCTGGTAAGGATGGAGAGGGAGGGCATTTTGGGGAAATTACACTCATAGTCAACCCTTCAAAAAAATGAAGAAAAGTCCAAATGGGAAGATTTTTTCCGGACGGAGGGAGGATTTTGTTACACTAGTTTATCATTCTTGCCCACCTAAGAACAATATTCCGGTCAAGACAACTTACACCATCAGAGTTAAAATACATTTATATTACGAATCATGATCATGTACATTGCCAAAAAATATAATAAAATATACATGTATAATGTCCATCACATTACCACAATGTGAAGTTCTATTTTGAAAATAAAAACATGAAACTTTTATTTTGGTATTTTCTGATTTTTCTCTATGTTTTATTCTTATTTAGGGTGATTTCTTATTATTTTTTGAAAATAAAAATTAGTAACGATTAGTTTGTAAAACTCATATTGCAAAAAAAACAATCGTCAATTATGTCTTCTTATATAATCTTATAATGTTATGCTTTTTATTTGTACTGTATGTTATTTTTATTTTACATAATTTTATATTCTATATTTTAAAAGAATTCTTTTGTTTTGGGAATTCAATTTGTGTGCGTTTACTTAAATAATTTTAATGAAATGGACTCATTCATTTTTTGTGTTTTAATGAAATGATATTTTTAATAGTTAACTATATTTGGGGTTCATATGACATTGGAACCTCATGTCATGAGATATCCGGGTGCGCTGCAGTGTCCTGTTCGTAAAATTGACGGTTTTTACCCCTAACCCCCTCCCCACCCGCAGCGATCCAGACACCCCGCTCCCACTTCTCAATGTCAAAATTAACTTGTATGGTGCAATTTAAGGGGTCAGGGTGAAATGTCATGGATTGAAATGATTTTCGTGAAAGTCTGGAATAGTAAAATGCAAGCGTGACAAAGTTTGAAAGAGTTTTGTGACTCTAGCATCTCTCAATTGAAATGACATAGAAAATGAGGTTGCTCTGAATGTATTGACTGGCAAACCGTTGCATGAAAAGTTGAAAAATATAAACCATATCTTTGGTAAGAAGTAGAAAGTTGATCAAACAGTCCAATAATTTGGAAGAAAAGATCAATATTATAACGAGGACGAAGAATGCTTCTGTGCCATACTCCTAGAGTGAAAGCGATGGGAATCATGCAGAAAAGACAACGGCACAACGATAAATACACATGAGAAGGGCATTGAAGTCTTCATTACATCTTTCCCACTCGATCACTTGTATCTTACTTTGCTTGTTTTTTTAAACCGGATTTCGCTTTTGTCATTTTCAACTCATTCACCACCGCAGTGAATGGAGAGAGACATAAGAGAGGCCATATGCATGCAAAAATGAAATTAAATATGTAAACGTCTTATTACCGTGTCAATCTATATACATCGACACAATCATAATTCATAATGTCGATATAAGTACAACGAAACTTGTCAAAATAGAATTCACAAAAAAAATTTGTCGTAGAAAATATATAAATATATGTCGACTCAATGATGATATCATGTACCATCTAGAGCAACCAAAAACATCGACATAATCAAATATTGTTGACTACACTCTATCGCAAATCAGATTTCGACTTTAGTTATGTCGACCCTTCTAAGTATAAACACGTATCGATCTGCATCTGCTATGTTTATTTATATCGAAAGTTTTCAAAAACGGAATCCAAAAAAAACTTTTAGTCGAAAACATAAAAAATATATGTCTACTCAATGATGATGCCATGTATTATCTAGAGCGACCAAATACGTTGACATAATCAGATATTGTTGACTACACTATACCGCAAATCAGATTTCGACATTAACAATGTCGACCCTTCAGATATCGATTTTAGATTGGAAATAATCCGACACAATCGACTTTAATTATGTTGACTAGTCAGATAGTGTTGAATCGACTAGAATGATAAATATCTTCCCTTTCTAGAGCATTTTGAAAAAGAATCCTACTCTGTATTAGATTGGGTCTTACTCCGTATTAGATTTGATTTTAATGAGAACAAAGTAATAAAAAAAACAAACGGATGACGTGAAATTTGAACCTGCATTCAACAAAACTCCTAACCACAATCAATATTGAACCAAAAATTAACCGGCCCTCATAAATAAACCAGATAAGAAAAATAAATAAAAGCAACAAAATGTGAACCTAACAAATCTTTGAAACGACTCAAAGAATAGGTGAGATGGAATCCGGACTGTTACTATTGACAGACTCCAGATGATCTTTCCCCGTCACGGACGGATGGGAAGATCGGAAATTCAAGAAAAGGCATTAAATTTCTTGACTTTTACTAGAAACCCAGAAATTTCATTCTCTTCCTCCTCTGGAAAGAAACCCTCCCCCCACTTGATAGTGTTTCGGAGCGGATGTTTCCACGCATTGTGTTGTTCTCCGTAGATCAAATGCGCTGCTGGTTATAAAGATTCAATCTTTGAGCGGAAAGAAGAAGAGGGAGGCTTTTGTTTTCTCTTTTAAATTGAGTGTTTGGGAAGAATTGATCTTCTTGGTTTGGGGGAAGAGATGAAGAAGCTGAAGAACTACTATCTGAATCTGAGAAAACCCCACAAAATGGAGCGGAAATGGATCTTCCCGCTGGCAATTGGGGCAATTGTTTCTCTGTTTCTCCTGTTTCTCACAACCCTAACTTCCTCCGACGGGACCCCTCTTCTGCCGCTCTACAGTTACTACGCCTCCGCCTCCGCCGCGTCGGTTTTCATCGAATCAAAGCTCCGACCTTTAGGGGTTTCCACTCTCCCACCTCCGCCCCGCATTGCCTACCTCATCTCCGGCTCCGCCGGCGACGGGACCATGCTCAAGCGCACCCTTCAGGCTCTGTACCATCCCAACAACCAGTACGTGGTCCATCTGGATGCAGAATCCTCACCGGAAGAGCGGCTCGATCTCAGCAACTATGTCAGGGACCAACCGATCTTCTCTGCCGTGAGAAATGTGAGGATGATCAGTAAGGCGAATCTTGTGACCTACCGGGGCCCAACAATGGTGGCAAACACCCTCCACGCCGCCTCCATCTTGTTGAAGGAGGGCGGCAATTGGGACTGGTTTATCAATCTCAGTGCTTCCGATTACCCTTTAGTCACTCAAGATGGTAATGCAGTTTTGTATACTCTTTGTAAATCTTTGCAGAAACCACTCAAAATCTATTTTTGATCATTACAAGACTTTTTTTTTGTTCTTTGGGTGATTTATTGCAGATTTGCTTTATGCATTTTCGCATTTGCCAAGAGATCTTAACTTCATTGATCATACTAGCAACATTGGCTGGAAAGAGTAAGTATTCATCTTTGTCATGTTTTGTTTTTTCCTCAATTAATGGATTAGATGGGAACTATTGGTGATTTAAGATTAGAGTTGCTGGGTAGACCTGGCCTTAGTTTGTAGGTTATGTTGGTTTGTTTTCATGTTGGTGATTTAGGTTTGTTCCCAACTTATTGGAGTTTGTTTGTATGATTCTTTTGTCTATATTCGTACTACAATTGCTTCTTTGTAAATACGTTTGGTTTTGAGTCGAGGGTCTCTTGGTAACAACCTCTCTATTGCCTAGTAAGGGTAAAGTCTGCCTACACACATCTTATCGAGACCCTACTTTTTGTGGAATCTTACTGGGTTTGTTGTAGTAATGATACATTTTTGGGAATTTAAGGATTGATTAGTTCATTAATTGGGAGTTTATGCATTTTGTGTTGATGAAGGTATCAGAGAGCAAAGCCGATTATAATTGATCCGGGGTTGTATATGACAAAGAAGGCTGATGTTTTCTGGATTACACAGAGAAGAAGTGTTCCTACTGCTTTCAAACTCTTTACAGGTGATGATTTGCATCACTTTTTCTTGTTCTCTTTTTCTTCCTTTTTTGTTTTAGTCTTGAACTTTCTCTTTTTATAGTCCTTGCAATCTTAGGGTCTGTTTGGAGAATCAGATCAGCCAAATACATAGCTCTTTATGTGTTTCCTTCAAACCAAACACGCACTTAGTGCCTAACGCTTCTTATAGTATCTATTGGTATAGTTGTTTAAGGTATCATAAGTGAAATTTACCCAAAGCCGTAATAAAAGGGATGTAAAAATTGATAAGTAAAACATGGAAAAAGATTTGAAAAGAAAAGGATTTAAAACATTATAGGACTTGTTTGGATGTCATTCTAACATGAGATATTGAGATGCTTTTTCCCCCCTCATCTTATTATAGAATGCTATTCTTGGAAAACAGGATCAGCTTGGATGGTCCTATCTCGGCCCTTCGTCGACTTCTGTATATGGGGATGGGACAACTTGCCCCGCACCGTCCTCATGTACTACGCCAACTTCTTGTCCTCCCCCGAAGGCTACTTCCACACGGTCATATGCAATGCGGCCGAGTTCAAGAACACCACGGTGAACAGTGACCTCCATTTCATTTCGTGGGACAACCCTCCCAAACAGCACCCCCATTACCTCACCCTTGAGGACATGAAGAAGATGGTGGACAGCAATGCCCCTTTCGCGAGGAAGTTCCACCGCGACGATCCTGTCCTCGACAGAATCGACTCGGACCTTTTGTCACGGGGCCCGGACGAGCTCGTCCCAGGCGGGTGGTGTGCGGGGAATGGGACCCACCCGTGCTCCGCGGTGGGTGACGTGGCACTTTTGAAGCCCACTGCGGGGGCCAAGAGGCTGGAAACTCTGATCGGATCTCTTTTGTCCAACGAGAATTTCCGGCCTCGGCAGTGCAAATGACAATAGTAGTTTATATGTATCAGTCCAAGTACTCCAACTTCCGAATATTACAGATTTTGCCCGGTTCGGAGATTCTTGAGTGTCGAGTCCTAACACCCCGCGACAAGCCGTTGTTGCCAGCTGTAACAGCGCGAACCATCACGACACGAAGAAGGCAAATTCGGGGGGTTTTCAGGGACTCAAATTGAGATGTAACCTTATATATAGTGACCAGTTTCTTGTAGGGGTGGCCTTGAAACACAGTGTGGGATTCCATCAATGCTTATTGTTATGTTATCATTCCCCAGTGTAAATCTTATGTGCTGTCATAATAATATCCTTAAAATAGAATGTTAGACACTTGTGGGCGATTTTTTTTTAAGACTGTTAAACCATGATGTCAACTTTCATTTTGCTATATTCGTTTTAGAATTTAACGGGTTTTTGTTTGGGCTGAAAAGTTCTAATTTATCATTAGGACTTGGGAGTGATTTTTTTAGTAGCTCCCAGATAGGCTGGAACACTGGATGTGAAAAGATTTGGGGGGGGATATCATATGCTTCCACCTAGAGCTGGCAAATTCGTCGGTCAGATCGGGTTCGGGTTCGAGTCAATTCGGGTTTGGGTTGAGAATTGTATCTTCATGACCTAGTGTCATTGGGTTCGGGTCGATCCAACGGGTTATGACTTTGGTTTTTTAAATTTTTTAATTCACATTAACACTTACATTTTGTATTAAATAAATTTAAAATATCAAAAATAAGCATTAAATCTAGTAGATTATTTTATTTTAAATTTTGAAGGAAATTTTTAGATATATACTCCGTAAATCAATATAAGGAATTTAAAAAATTCTTAAGTTTTAGAAAAAGTTAGATAATTATGCAATATCATTAAACTTTTGTTTGAAAATATAAATTTATACACTAAAAACGAGTAGTAAAGTGTATGATTTTGAAAAACTCTTACTTAAGCGGGTCGTTCAGGTCGAGATTGGTTTTGGTCGAGTTTAACCCATTTTTAGCGGGTCATTTCGGTTTCGGTCAACTTTAGGTTCGGTCATCAAAATCCAGTGTTTTCGGGTCTCTGTTCGTTAACTTTTAACTTCAGTCGTAAAAAAAACTTATAACTTTTACTATTTTTCTACTCATTCCAGTTTCTTTCTGATGGCTATAAATCACCGAATATATTGAATGATATAAGTTTTAGAGAGAGAGAAAATGCAAAGTAGGAGTTTCTTTACTTAAAATTCGGATCCATTACAATGAGGGGCCATACCCCTTTTATAGGGGATGCAATACACTTAGGGGCTGTTTGTTTCAGCCTCTTAATGGTTCAGATGTCTGAATGGTTCAGCACTTAATGGTTCAGACTGTTTGTTTCAACCTCTTAATGGTTTAGATGTCTGAATTGTTAAGAGATTTGCCTCTGAATGGTTAAGTATTATACAGAGTCTGAATGTTTAAGACCTCTTATCTGAATTGATCAGACATTTGCCTCTGAATAGTTAAGCAATATACTAGCTCTTAATGATTCAGACCTCTTACTGATTCAGCACTTAATGGTTCAGACCTCTTACTGGTTCAGCACTTACCTATTCAGAAGTTGCCAAACAGCCCCTTAGTCAAAGCCCTCTGATCGAGGTTCGTCGCCTAGTGGACGTCATCAGCTTCTCCGTCTTGTCCCTTTCATCCTATCGTTATCGCGTGGTCAACGTCGTCGGTCACTATCTTCTCGTCGTTGTCATGTCATCCGAGCTGAGCACGGGAGCGCTATGGCCGAGCCGAGCTCTAAAGCCGAGGGCAACAGTCTTCCACGTGGACGAGGGGGGCCAGCCGACGTCAACCTGGGGTCATCCTCCACTTTCACTTTTTTTTATTTCTTCTAGTTTTTTCATTTTTTTCCAACTCCTTTCGATTTTCTTCTGATTCTTTCTGTTTTTTCTAATTTCTTATGATTTCTTCCAATTTTTTTCAGTTTTTTTCAACTCATTCTATTTTCTTCAAACTCTTTTCAGTTTCTTCTAACGTCTTTGAATTTCTTCCAATAATTATTTTTAAAAACATTTAGGTTTATTTTTATATTTTCTTCTTATTATTATTATTTCAAACACTTATACATTATTATTAGTATCTCAACAAAATAAAAAATGTTTTAATGTCACAGTTTATTAAAAAACGTGTCATCGATATAAACTTTAGTTATCATTTTAGAGTCACAAAAATTATTAAAATCTTAAATTACTTAATTTATAATTTTCTTTGTGATTTTGAAATTTTTATTAACTATATTTGTTCATGAAAAGAAATCCACTATACAAACAATACCTTAAAGAATTTGAAGCTCTAGACTTGGGTTGTTCTCTCTCAATAGAAACCAAAAATGATTTCTTGATGTGCCCATGGAATTTTGAGGTGCTGAAAAGAGATTTGTATTTATTTAAATAAAATTTCTTACTTATTAAACAAACTGATTAATACCAGTTCATGATGTGATGGAAAATGATTTCTTGAGGAAGTCAATTTTTAAGGAACACATTTCTATTGCAAATTGTGGTAAAACTTTTTTCAGAGTTTGATACTATTTCTATGAAATGGTGAAATTTTAAATAACAATTGGATACTTAGGTATCAAAATCTCATTAAGAAGTGTTTAATTCTGTCATTATCTGTGATTTTCAATTACCCATAATTTATGAAATTAAAAAAGTTTGATCATAGATACATTTTCTTAATAATAATAAGCAACTCCCGCATTATTAAAAAAATAAATCAATCGCTCATTTCTCGTAATCCTTAAAAAATTCTAAACACAAGATATGTGTTTATTTCATCAAATAATAATAATAAAAAATACAATCAAAACTTATCAGGGACATCAATTTTGAGATGTGAAGAGACTAAGTAAAAGAGGTTCTTCCCCTCAGGTTATACATTTACCCTCAAAATGCATTATATGCTTCAGTTCACTACTTTCAACTCAAATCTAGAATTCTTTATCGGGGAAATTTAATTATTTATTCATCTTTAAAAAGAAAAGATCAACAAAAAAACACAAATCTTTTCTACTATTGAATTAGAAAAACCTACAAATAGAGAATTAAAAATGAAATTCGAGCTCAGAGAGAATGAAAATGACTTCTCATCGACTACTTAAAGAGTCTCTGAAGTCTGACATGCGTTAACAATTTTCATAATTCATCACAGCAGAATCAAAAACATCAAAAGCAAAACCCAAAAGCAAAAATAAATCTTTTAGAAAAAGCCAGATTTCAAACAAAGAAAATGAGGAAAAAATCAGAAATTGACATAAACACGAATTTAAATTTCAGATGAAAAGCAGCTCTCATCACAGATTGTTGATTTTTCAATCATGAGAAGCATCAGAATAGCGTATATCGCCTCAAAGGGCAAACAATCATTGAGCAGAGTAAACCCTAAAACGATTGATAATTCATAGCCGAAGGAGATCAGAAGGATAGAAACTTGTTTTCTCAGTCACAGTGATCAGAAACACGGACCAATAGTTTGTTCATCACGTCTCCAAACAGATCAAATAAATCCACAAAAAACAACCAAAGGAAGAGAAACGAAAACAGAAGAAATCGAAATTCGATTCGACGAGGATCATCAGAGACTTAAATACTACGAATCATAGAACAAGACCTCATATTGTTGCAGTATTTTCTTCATCATGTGATTTGAGCGCCTCAAGATCGAAAAGAGAAACAAATTTCACATAAATTATAAGGATTGATAGAGGAGATGGAAGTCGATTCGAAGCGGAGATCGTCGGAGAAGACTGGTGATTCGGGTGGCGTACTCGAATCTTCTTTTATAAGCATCGATTGGGGAGAGATCGCTCATCGCGGCGATTCTAAAACCCTAATTTCAGAGGCGGGGCTAAATTGGGATTCGGGACTACTGGGCTTGAGGCGTAGAAGCCTAGATTTATGTGGGGATACGAATGCGGTCGTGATTTATTCGGGTCGACCAATGGATAAGTATCGTTTCGAAATTCAATTGGGAAGGCCCACGAAACCTAAGGTAGTTCGTTCACACAAGTGAACCAAGCCCAAACACTTTTCTTCTCCATACAAATTGTTTGGTGACCAAACACGAGAGAGCATGTCTTCGCAACCAACATGTGTGTTCTAGTGTGGTGCATTTGATGCTTTTGGTTTTCTTGCACCTAAAGTGTGGTGCTCCTTATCCGAGTCTAACGAGTCATGTGTAGTTATGTTATGTTCTTTAGACTTGATGGGAAATAATATTTGACTTAATTTAAATTTCCTAATTATTTATGAAGTAGAGTCCGATCAAGACTGTTAGATAAAGAAGGGGAATAATAGAATGTTCCCTGAGCATGTATTTTTTTATTTTTCCATGAGCTTGTAGCTCCTTCATCAATGGCTTCCATGTCTAACTTATGTACCGTGTACACTCTTGATATTGATAAAAATCCCTCCTTGGCAATGTACTGCTGAAAAATGCTCATAGTTTTTTTCCAATTAGGATAACTTACACCATCAAGACCTACTAATGTTATTTTAAAAAAAACTTAATTTTACTATTTAAAAAGGGCAAACACCGTAACTTCTTACATTTTTTGTCTTTTATTTCAATTTATTGAACAATCATGTCAAGAACATTGAGATTAAATGCTTAAATAAAACAATGAAACATATGGTCCAGATAAAGTTAAAAGAATTGTACTTTATAAACCATGACTTTAATGTCATACTCCCTCGATTCCAAAATAAGTATCATTTTTACTATTTTGATCTATCGATAACTTTTATTTATTTATTGATTTTGGTTAACCATTAGATAAAATAAGATATTCTTATCGTAATTTGTTTTATAAAACTTTTGGTGTACCATTGAACAATATAGTTTTGACTTTTTATTTCATTACTAATTTTTAAATAAAATAATTTTAAAAAAGATACTATTTTGCACATCGTTCAAAATGTTTGTTACAAATAATTTGAGCCATCGCCCTAGACCCCTACAGATCCTAGACGGGAGTGAATAAAACAAGAGAAAAATGCCTGACTAAAACTAAACATGATCCGTAAGTAACTTGTAAGTTAAAAGGCTAAAATCCACCATTGGTTATTCAACTTTATGAGTTGTACACGATTAGTCTTTCAAGTTTTAAAAGTTTGTAAATAGTCCTTCAACTTTTCGAGTTGTGCACGATTGGTCCTTCAAATTTCAAAAGTGCATAAGTAGTCTTTCAGGTATACGTCAACCATTCGGATAAAGTCTTTTTTATAGTAAATATTAAAAGCTAAATGAAATACTAGTTCAATAGAATACTAGTTTGACTATGTATTACATGGAGCTAATATTTCATTTAGCTTTTAACGTTTACTGTCAAAAGGACCTTATCTAAAGGGTTAATGTGTATTTGAAAAACTACATATGGACTTTTGAAACTTGAAGAACGAATCGAGCATAACTCATAAAGTTGAAGGACTATTCATGGACTTTTAAATATTGAAGGATCAATCGTGCACAATTGATAAAGTTGATAAGCTAATAGTAGAGTTTAGCCTAAGTTAAAGATTAGTTATTAGCATAAGTCAATAAATACTAGCACAGAGAAACACCTCTAAAATGGAATGAATAAAAAAAATACTCAACAAAATTTATGGCTCATTTGGAGTATAAAATATGGAAGAAATGGTTTGTGATTTGAAATCTGAAATTAATTTGTCTGTAAAGATTTAAAATTATGATTTAATGAGTGATAAATGAGGGTGGTTGGCAGTGACAACGATAATCGGTGACAGAGAATAATTAATGGTCGATAGAGATATCAAATCTGCATATTGATATCTACAAATTCAAGACATATTGAAAATTTCCATTTGAAGAACTGGTGATACATGAAGATATCGAATTGAATTTCTATTTCGGTTTTTTCAAACAACAAAAAAGAATTTTGACATTCCAAAATACCTCTTATATCTTGTTTCATCAAGAAAAGACTCTTCCTCCTTAAGCTGCTCTAAGGGTAGACCTCGTATCACCACTAATGGCGGTTTCATCCGCTCTTTTGTCCACCTTGTCCACCGGAACCCGACCCACCATCAACGACCCGGTTTCCCATCACTCCAATCCCACTTCAATCAGCTACCTTTCCAGACCCAATAATCGCCGACGCCCAATCGCCGCCGCCGCCGTTTCACACAGTATGCTATCCTCTCCTACCTCTCTTCAATAAAGTCCCAATCTTTACATTCAATCTTTTTTATAAAAAAAAAAGAAAAGAAAATTCTTGATTACTTTATGCTGGCAGAATCCAACGGAGTTCCAATAGACAAGAAGAGTCGTGAGCTGCTTGAACAGTACGGTTTTGATCCAGACAAGATTTTATCTGAACCTTCACCTCAGGTCTCAATTTGTAGTATCAATTTAGCTTTAAATTATCTCTTGTTTGATGTCCACAATCAATTGTCAGCTTTCTATAGTTAGTCAACAAAATCAAATGAATTATAATAAATACCTCACAAATTACATACTGGCCTTGTTCGGGAACAACATTTTCGATTAGGCGTTTTGGATAATATTTTGTTGGTGTAGATTAACTATGAAAACACTATCGCAAAAGGCTACTGTCGCATAGCCTTTTCAAAACGCTAATGCTAACCACTGATGCCAAACGGTGCGAGTATCATTGTTGCTATCAATGAAAGACTAGTTATTATTTATGTTATTTTACCCTCACCCCTTTAATTTTAGTTACTCTGTGTTTTGGAAAGTGAAAAACCAAAATTTGGATGGGGTGAGTAGTTTTTATAACAGTGATTCACTTACAGGGTTTGGATTGTCAATTTACAGCCAAAGAGGAGAAAAGAGTTGACGAAGAAGGGAAGGGGAAAGAATGTTGTCCCCGAAGAAACCAAGCCCCCGAGAGAGACACATAGGTTGCTTCAGGTCTGCTTGCCAATCACACTAGAGTCTTTCCAAGACTTTCTTAAATTGAAGAAAAGCTAGAAGCTCCTAATTTACGTGTGCCAGAAATACCCGTGACTAAGTTTTGGTTTTTTTCGAGTCATTTTTCTCATAACGGTTTTCATCTTGTAGGTCTTGGGAGGGAAGGTACGACGGAAGAAGTTGCTCTCTCCCAAGGGAATGGATGTGCGGCCTATGATGGAAGTTGTTAAAGGTGCAGCATTTGATATTTTGCAGGTCCCCGTACAATCCTTTGTTTGATTTCATTTTTTTTTAAAAAAGGTGGAACTGGTCCCCCACACCCTGCCGTGGGGTTGGCGGAGGAGGTAAATCGCGGGATGTGTCTCACCTACATAGGTCAATCACGGGATGTGTCTCACCTACATAGGTCAATCACGGGATGACCCGGGGTTTGCCACAACTAATCTCACCATACAAGGGGCCTTATCCAAAGAGTTGCATCTAGGATTCGAACCTCGAGCATGTAGATTGCCAGCAAAGCCTCACCTGATGCTTTTTCTAGCCGAGCTGTGCCCCGAGGAGGGGGGGGGCTTCTAGAAGGGGACGAATCCCAAGAGTTGCATCCAGGATTAGAAAGTAGAACTTTTTTTTTCCGAATCCAAAAAGCCATTGTGCCCCCTGCGTACAGACTTAAGCTTGTCCCATCTTTTTTGCTGATGACATTATCCTCTTCTCCAAGGCGTCTTGCAAAAGTGGGGAAACTGTACCAAAAATCTTGAATAGCTTTGTAAACGCTCACTGGTTGCACATCAACTTTGAAAAATCCAAGGGCATGATGGCAAATAATATCCGTGAAACTAAGTTAGAAAAATCAAAAACAGTACTCCCCCATTCCTCTCAAGGTCTTTTTGGTTTATGGGAAGATGATTGTTTGGTTTAAAGTTTTAGTTGCGAGGGGCCCCAAAATAGGCCCTCCATTCCCTCCTATCCCTTTATATCCATTCCCTCCGAATTGGAGTTTTTATGAGGGAAGCTAAAAATATGACTAATCTATCTCATCAAATTTACTTCTACGTATATTTTTGTCAATGTTCCTTGTAGGGTATAATACTTTTTAAGAAAGGACTAATATATAAATATAATAATAGTAAATTAGTCATTACATCCCCTCCCCTCATCTTTTAAACACAGAATCATTCCTTTCTTTCCCTTTCCACCCCTTTCCCTTCCCTACAATCCTTCCCCTTCCATTCCCTCCCATCGAATAACAGACCCTTACAGTTTCACTTGGAAGATACACGGGAGTGGAACTGTGTCTGGAAGACGACAGGGAACAGACTTCAATTCCATTATTGATAAGTTCCATGCTAAACTTGCATCGTGAAAGAGGAAAACCATCAATAAACTCGGACTGGCAACCTTGACCAAATCTGTATTTGTGGTGTATCTCTTTGCACGCATCCTTAAGCATGTGATACATTTGGTTTGGGAAGAAAGAACAGATGGGTCCTACTCAGTCACAAAGGCTTACTCGTGGCCACAAAACCAGACTTAGACCCTCCATTCGGCTCAAAGCACATTAAATATAATATACTTAACTTATTTGGCACATTTGGTTTCGGAAAATAAATAATAATACAAAAATGAAACTATTTTGGGGACAAAAATAAGCTCTCCATATTTTTTGGACGGACGGAGTACTAGATACTTATCTGTCTTCAATTTGGATGATAAAATCACATGGATCAATCTGGACACTCCATCTGTTTCTGATTTTTTTGTTGAACTTTTAGGTCGCAGGTGGTTGCCCTGCATCTCTAAGGCCGGGCAGTTGGTTGGACTTGTATAGTGGTACTGGTTCTGTTGGTATTGAAGCAATGAGCAGAGGCTGCTCGCAGGTGTGTCAGTTGTCACTTTGGGACTGTTGTAGCAATTAGTGGTTATTTTACATCAGTATTTAACAAGTAATGGTTAGTAAATTGAATGTATAAATATATTTATTACTGTAAAAACGTGAATTAATTGCAATTTATGCAGTATTGATATAAGGCAATTTTGTAAACTCTATCTTTGCAAAATTTCCCATCTTCATTGCTCTCTTTCTTTACTTTGTTGGTTTGTCTTTTGATCCTGCAAGACTCTCAGGTGCATTTTGTTGAGATGGATCCTTGGGTTGTCTCAGATGTTCTGAGGCCAAACTTAGAATCAACCGGTTTTCTTGATGTCTCAACTATACATACTGTCCGTGTTGAGAGTTTTTTGGAGCAAGCGGTTCGTTTTGTTGGTATGCCATGTTATCTTTTCGGCTTCTTTTCGTACTATAAAATCTGAAGGGTGATGTTACAATCACACCACGGATGACACCAAAGTTGACACCGTCAGCATTATAGAGACAATGATTTCTTCGCATGTTGGGGGTGATTGTCTCAGGCAGTGCCAATCTTGGTGTCATCCATGAGATTAGAGTAGCATTTTTCAACTTTGAAAGGAATTTGAACTTGACAATGCTGTTTCGTGCAGACAACTGTGGAGCTTTCGATTACATCAGCGTCACGCCTCCATATATGGAAGTAGATTATACCATATTGATGAATCAAGTTGCAGATTCATCACTAGTGGGAGAGGATGCCTTCATAGTGAGTGTTTTCCCCTTCTTTTTTCTGTATTCCCTTTCCTTGGGGCATGTTTGGTTTGAATGCAAGGGATGGAAGGGGAAAGGGAGGAATAATTTTGTGTTTGGTTCAAAAGTGGGGGGGGGGGGGGGGGGGTT